ATTTTATCCTCATAAGAGCTCTGGGTGGTAGATGCTATTATTAACCCCATTTTACAGATGAGGAAATTGAGGCAGACAGGTTAAGTGACTTGCCCAATGTCCAACAGTTAGTAAGTGTCTGAGACCAAATTTGAACGCAGTCTTGTTGCCTCCAGGTTTAGCACTTTATATCCATTGCATCACCTAAGTGCATTATTACACACACACACACACACACACACACACAAATGTATGTGTATGTAAGTATATATATATATATATATATATACATATATATATATATATATATATGTTTGCAAAATGAATGCTACTGCTATCATCATTGCTATTATCATTATACAGGATCCTTGATCTTAGACTTTAAAGTCTGGCTAGAAAAACAAGTTTAATATACAGGAAACCACAGAAAACCAACCAAGATGTATGACCTGGTTTTGAATCCATACTTTGAAGACTGTTAACACCGATGGAAGTCAAGAGCAAAGGCCGTCTCAGGTTGCTGAAGTACTCAGGGGTGTCACTGGGGAAGCAGAACTTGCAGTGGACCAGGACAGGATCTAAATAAAGAGTTCTATTCCTCTCTGTCTCTGTCTTTCCTGTCTCTTCCTCTATGCCTCTCTGTTTTTCTCTGTCTTTCTAGCTCTTCTCTGTTTATGTCCCTCTATTTCTCCTTTTTTCTCTTTTCTTTCTGCCTCTCTGTTTTTTTTTGTCTGTCTGTATCTCTCCTGTTACTTGCCTCTGTCTCTTTGTATCTCTCTGTCTTGTCTCTCTCTCCTTCTGTCTCTTTCTGGTACTCTTTCTTTCTGTATTATTTTCTCTTTATATTGCTGGCATAGATCATGATTTCTATCTGTGTATTTCTAGCTTTCTGTCTCTAGGGATCTCTATATAGTGTTCTGTTCGTATGTAATTCTACCTTCATTTCTATTTCTATCACTAGACAATTCCTTTTCTCTAAAACTATGTCAACAACATATTTCTCACTATTGTATATCTATCATGCATATACACATAACTTTCTTTTTTTTTTAAAAAAAAAATCAGGGGCAGCTAGGTGGTGCAGTGAATAGAGAACCAGACTGGGAGTCAGAAAGACCTGAGTTCAAATCTGACCTCAGACACTTGATACTTACTAGCTCTGTGACCCTGGGCCAGTCACTTAAACCCGATTGCCTCGCCAAAAATAAATAAATAATGAAATAGTGTAAAGAAATGAAAAAAATCAAAAATCTATTTTTTGTCTCCCTGCTACCAAACCCCATTGGAAAAAGAAAAAAGAAAACAAAACTTTTGTAATAAAAATGTGTAGTCAAGCAAAACAAATTCCCTTATTGGCCCTGTTCAAAAAATAGATGTCTCTTTCTGTACCCTGAGTCCATAGAAGGTGGGTAGCACACTTCCATTTTTGGTCTTCTGGCATTGTGGTTGGTCATTGAACCATACATAGATTCTTCTCCATCTCCTTTTGCTCTCACTCTCTTATGTATTTTCTATATACTATATCACCATATATCTGAATATTTCTATCTGAGTATAGTCATTCAAGTGATTGCTTGTCATTTTGTTGGTAAGAGAATCTGTGATTCCTTGTTTGGGTATTTTTTTTCTTTTTGGTGAGGCAATTGGGGTTAAGTGACTTGCCCAGGGTCACACAGCAAGTGAGTGTCAAGTGTGGAGTCTGTGATTCCTAACAAAGACCACTCTATAGCTTAATAGATAAATCTTAAGAATTTGTCTGAGGCTCAGAGTTATGGTGACTTGCCCATGGTCAAATAGCCAGTATGTGTTAAGGACAGGATTTCAGCCCAAGTCTTTCTGACTCCAAATACAGTATGCTATCCAAACTTCCATGTCACATCTATAAAATGTTTGTTGAATTGAGTGAAATTAAAATGTATCCACTCTTTCTCCCTATAGAAAATCTCTCTCCTTATCTCTAAATACCTCAATTTTGACCTCTACATTTGTAGATCTTTACCTATATAATTATCCATCTTTACCTATATAGTTCCTTATCTTTACAGATCTAGCTTCATTGATATATAGCTCTTTTTCTATTGAGGGTCACAAGACTGTAGAATACTCGTAGGAGGCAGGGATCTCAGAGGTAGTCCAGTCTAGAGGTATCAAACTCATGGCCTTCTTCAGTGTGGCCCCAAATAAATAAAAAGGTAATGGGAAATGTAATACAACCACAGATAATGTCAATTTGTAGTTTTCTAAGTCAATATGTGGGGCTTGGATCCCTTTTTATTTGCGTTTGACACCATTGATAGTCTAACCCTCTTATTTTACCAATAAAACCTGGAAATATTCAATGACGTACCTAAGGATGCACAGATAGTAAGTGTCAGAGCTGAGCTATTACTATTTTTATCTCTACTCAGATGTAACTTTACTCCATTTTCATTTTTCTTTCTCTACATATCTGTATGATATATTTTTGTTGTTCAGCTGTTTCAGCCATGTCTGAGTCTTTGTGACCCTGTTTGAAGTTTTCTTGGCAAAGATACTGGAGTGGTTTGCCATTTCCTTCTTCAATATATGATATTATATACATACACACACACACACACACACATACACACACAGATAGATGGATATAGATATATGTATCCATAATGATATCAGTCAGAAAATGAAACCTATTATATTCCATAGGTATATATACATATGCATACATATATATGTGTGTGAGAGAATATAAATTAAGAGGAACTAGACCTTACTTAATGTCACAATGCGATGGATTTAAAAGAATTATTTAGTTTCCAGACTCCTTAGAACAAAGGAAGTCCTTAGGGAAAGGCCTGGAGCCTATATAAAAAGCATGTAGCATACTAAGTATTCTAAAGAGAAAAAGAAAGTTGTTTTTCTCCTTTTGGAAATGTTGCATCCTAACTTCAACTCTTTAAGCCATCCACAATTCTAGGTTTCTATAATGTCATGTTAGAAAAGGAAGAATGCTCTGTTTCAAGATTTGGGATTGGTTTCAAAAAAGCTCACGACTACTTTCCCTATGAAGGTCAATGACCTCATTGTTCTTCTCATTGTTCCTCTGAAGGTTACCTCTGCCTCCTCCATTCCTTCACCATTCTTTGCCTCTACTGAAGTTTCAAGAACCAGAAAATGGCAGAAGTTGCAATGTTCCCTAGTCCCTGAGATTTGTCTACTATTAGCTTCCATCACCTTACTCTCTAAGGACTTAACCCCTATAATGGAACCCGTGTTTTCCCCCTACTCATTGAAATTTAATGATTCATGTTGTGATGGGGCCATGTAGTCCTAGACATAGCTTCTCATACCTTCTTCCTCTATTCCCCATCTCACACCGCATGTGATGCCAAACACATGCTGTAGGGGACACATGACATAGCAGACAGCTACATCTTTACCTACATAGTTATCCATACAGTACCTCACCCCTAAACTCAGGTATTTGGGGGATGTAAACAGTTGATCTTGCATCTGAGTAGACAAGGCGATTATAATAAATAGCTAAAATGTGTGTAACACTTCCGGGTTTGAAAAGTACTCTACAAATGTTATGGCACTTGGTCCTTATAACAACCCTTTTCGGTAGGAGTTATTATTATCCTTATTTTACAGACAAGGAAACAGGACAGGAAAAATTAAATGGTTTGTCAGAATCATACAGATACTAAATGTTTAAGGCGGGATTCAAACTCAGGTCTTCTTGGCTCCAAGTCCAGCCCTTTGTCCACCACAGTTTACTCAACTTACAAACACAGGGTCAGAAAAGATGTTGGTAGTTATAGCTATGGTTCCGGTCCCTCTGAGTACTAAGATAGTCTTTTTTTAAATGGTATTTTATTTTTTCCAATTGCATGTAAGACAATTTTTAACATTCATTTAAAAATTTTTTTGAGTGCCAGGTATTCTCCCTCCTCTCTTCACTTTCCCTTTCCTAAGGTGGTAAGCAATTTGATATAGGTTATATATGTGCAAGCATGTAAAACATATTTTCATATTAGTCATGTTGTAAAAGAAGAAACAGGCCAAAAGGAAAAAAAAGCCCACAAGAACAATAAAGTGAAAATAATATGCTTCAGTCTGTATTCAGACTCTATCAGTACTTTCTTTGGATATGGATAGCATTTTTTCATCATGAGTCCTATGGAATTGTTAGACAGTCTTTTACCTCTTTTTGCCCTCACAGAGATACCACACAGGTGATAGCAAATGTAGCACTCATGGAGTGGAGCATTTGCCAGGTCTGAAAAGGTGGTGAGCTTTCTCCATGGGTGCTTTTTATATGCTAATGTGAATAGGAAGTACTATGTCACTAGTTCAAAGCCTAAGGACTTCTCCTTGGACATCCTATCCGCCATACATGGTCTACTCAGACCCAAGTAATCTGCACAGGCCTGGATGTGGCCTACTGCACATGCGCAAGCAAGCATAGGCCACAGAGAATCAAGGGTGTCAGTTAACTAACATTTATTAAACACCGACTATGTGCCAGGCACTATGCCAAGCCCTAAGAATACAAAGAAAGACAATAAAATAAAATTAGATGAAAAGTCTTCAAGGACTTTTCTCAAATGGAAACATTGCTCTAATCTGGAATTGTTTCTGGAATCCATTCTAGAATAAGTGATGAGTTATAGGACTGGAGTTAAAGGGCTTAGACACAACACCTAGCAAACTAGCCTTGCACATAGTAGGCACTCAGCCATTTTTGGGAATTGGTTGCTTACTAAAGTCTGTTAAATCCCATAGGAGAGAGAATGTGACTTCTGGAATTCTACATGTTTGGGTGTAGGGAGTGGAAGAACATGGGGAATGGGAGAACTTTGTAATCCCCAACCAGGTTGTAACCTCCTAGGACTTCCAGGAATGGAGGAAACTCATGTAAGATGAAGAAGGACGAGGGAAACAATAGTGTCTTCCTATTCCAGAAGTCTCAGCACTGAGCTCAGACACACCCAGGTGCGCACAGGGAGGGAACCAGCCAATGGAATGTAAGTCCTTGTCATCAGCACTTCAGTTACCACCCTTGTGAGAGGAGCAGATGCCAATAAATTGTCTCATGGTCCAAGTCAGACTCTGTAACTCTATAAATCAGCTCCCAGGACAAGGCTCCTCAGCCAGAGTGATCATAATACCATCAAGGAAGGTAAGTCTTTGAGACTGGACAAGTGGTTTGGGTTAGGGCTGGAGGGATAGATACAGGTGACAAGGAGTCAGAGCAGACAAACTGTTGGGAGCCACGAGGATAGAGAAAGAAAGAAGAACAAGAAGATTACCCGTTGGGGGCTGGGGAGAAGAGGGCAGTGTAGAAGAGCACGATGGAAGGTGTGCATATGTGTGGAAGGATCTGTGATCCGTGTGTAAAACCAAGGAGGTCTTGGGCAAGGCAGTGATGGATTGATTGATTTAATTTATATTGGAAAATAAATAGTCCCTCCACTAAAATCTTCCACTGAAGTTTCATACTGGTGGTAGAGGTAATCCTGGATGATAATAGTTTGTGCCAGGTCAGAATAAGACAGGAATGCTATCAAATTAGGACAGCCGTAAGCAAGCTGCCTTGTGACAGATTGTCTCTTGTTTGAGAAGTGGGTGTGTTAAGTTTGGAGAGACTCATTACCAGACTGGGCCATGGGATTATAGCCATTGACCACAACGGCTATTGAAAATTATCTACCTGATGGTAGAGGGGTTGCTCACTGCCTGAGTGGAAGATACCTCTGTACTCATGAAATCATAGGTCTTCTTGGAGTATTGCGGTGAACCGACCAGTGTGCCATCTCTCTCCGGGAAAATGACTTTTTTTCCAGGAAGGACTTGGGCGCCTGGCAAGAGTTTCAGAAATTAGAGAAAAGTGGGGGGAGGATTTGGCAGATCAATAAGGAGAGGAGGTTTTCCCAGAGTCTCTAAAAGAAATGATTGCCTTTTCTGCCTCTGTGTGACTTTTTTTATTTGTTTGTTTTCGGGAGATGGTTTGAGGTAGGCCAGGCTAGGGTAGGCCAGAGAGGTCTACATGGATTTAGACCTGGGATGTTTGCCTGTGTAGAAGTGTATCCATTATATTTATAAGGCCAAGGAGAAATTTAATAATGGGTATATGTCTGGCTTATACATCAAGGCCCAGTCCATGCTTGCTTTTTATTGTCTTAGCTTCATCCCATGGGTGGGTCTAAGGCAAAAAAAAAAAAAAGAGAGAGAATTAAGATCAGCAACTTTTCCTTCTATTTTGGTGCAAACTGGTGATTACTGGAAGTAATAGGCAAGGAAAGAGTTATCGGCAAAGCTGGTGTATGTGGAGGATTATTCAGCCTGAGCTGGAAGGGATCTTAGAGATCATCTCAACCCTCCCCATTTTATAGATGCTGAAGCCAAGACGTAGAGGTGAACTGACTTGCCCAAGGTCATATAAGTACTAAGAGGAACAGCCAGGATTTGAACTCAGCTCCTCTGACTCCAAAGCAATTCCTCTTTCTACATTTGAATTAAATTAAATTTTTCTCTGACAAATAAAAAGGTTTGTTTAAAAACAAATCCATCACAACACAAACGTTCTGCTTGGGTGGTAACCAGCTATTTCGTGTATGGTGCCAAATAACTCTGACCAGATTCTCCACTTCTCGACGGGTGGCTTTGGCAGCATGTCAACACAGTTCGTTCATGTGTGCATGCCTCTGTGTGTGACTTCATCTCTTCATTATTTTCTTGGATGGAGGCGAATCACTCCCCATACTATACAAATTCCAAAGTGCTCCAGTTTGGGCCAGTCCCAAAGTGTTGTGTACGAAATAACTAAAAAAAAATTCCTTTTTAAATTGACTTCTGAAAATACATTCACAGTGTGAGAGGCATATGTGCAGCTCAGTGAATGACATTTGGCCTTAGGTCCCTTCTAGGAGCAGTTTTGTGAGAGGACGAGTGTCTGTGTGGATTGATCTATGTTCCTGTCTCCAACCAGTCCCCAGGAGCTGTAGTGTGGTGACCAGGGCACCAGATCTGGATCCAGACAAGTGGGGTTCAAATTTCTGCCTTGCTCTTTGGTAGTCCAACAGTCCATACGAGCCATCACTTAACCTCCCTGGCCCTTAGTTTCACCATTTGTAAGATGCAGGGTTTCAACCCTCAAGTCCCTTCCCTGGGATTCCTTCTCCTTCCCCAAACTCCCAGACTAACCTCTGCTCTCTCTGCCCACAGAGCCCTATCATCTGCAGTCAGAATCATGTGTGACCAGCAGAAGCAGTCCTGCCTGCCACCCCCAGAGTGCTGCGTGAAAGGGTCTTCTTTTTCCCCCTCCCCAGCCTTTGCCCCCATAAAAGGCCAGGCCTCTGGTGAAGTACAAACTTTTCAGACTTGCTCTGCAAAGGGTCAGGTTGTAAGCCAATCTCAAACTTCATCTACAAAAGGCCAGGCCCTGTGCCAGTCTAATATAAGTTCAGGAAAGGGTCAAGCCCCAAGTCAGTCCCAGATGTGCTATGTCCAGTGCCAGGCCCCATGCCAGGCCCAGGAATGCTATGTAGAATACCAAGTTGCACATCCTGTTCAGACCTCCTATGTACAACGCTCTCCAGTTTGCTCTACTGAGACTTACTATGTGCAGTGCCCAGCTCTGTGCCCTGTTGAGACCTATGTGCCAGTCGTGGTTCCTCAGCCAGCTCAGACTTATGTAGAATACTATCCTCAATGCCAGGCTCAGGGGTATTATAGCAGCAGTGCCCCTCAGCACCAGTCGCAGGGGTACTACACCAGCTGTACCTCTCAATGCCAGTCTCAGTGCTATAGTGGTGGTGCCCTTCAGAGCCAATACCAAGGATCCTACAGTGGCAGTTCCCCTCAAAATCAATATCAGCGATCCTACAGTAGATGTCTACCTGCACGCCCCTCTCAGCCTTCTTATCGTGGCTGTTCTCCTCCACGCCGACCTCAGCCTTCCTATGTCAGCTGCACCCTTCCGCGCATGTCTCGGCCCACCTATCGGAGCTGCTCCCCTCCACGAAGATCTCAGCCTACTTATACTTACTGTACTCCTCCACGCACTTCTCGGCCTGCCTATCGGAGCTGCTCCCCTCCACGCACATCTCGGCCCACCTATCGGAGCTGCTCCCCTCCGCTAAGATCTCAGCCTGCTTATACTTACTGTACTCCTCCACGCACTTCTCGGCCTGCCTATCGGAGCTGCTCCCCTCCACGCACATCTCGGCCCACCTATCGGAGCTGCTCCCCTCCACGCAGATCTCAGCCCACCTATACTTACTGTACTCCTCCACGCCAATCTCAGCCTTGCTATAGTAGTTGCCCTCCTAGGCGTCCAGCTTCAGGGTCTTCCCAGAGATGTGGTCCCAAATACCGGGTAGAAATTTCCTCTCCCAACTGTCCTGCTCAGGTCCCCCCAAGGAGGCGGCCTGTTCAGATTCCCCCCATCAGACGCACTTGCCAGGGTTCTAGCACACAATATTCTGGTAGCACTCCCTGCCCACAGCCATTTCCAGAGCCACGTCCACTCCAAGATTCATGTTCACCCCCAGAACGACGGCTGAGACCATGCCCACTCCCAGCTCCACGCTCATGCTGGCAACCTTGCCCTGAACCATGTTCTGCACTCCAGCCTGAGCCGTGTCCTGCACCACGGCCTGAGCCGTGTCCTGAACCAAGGCCCTGTTTAGAGCCCTATTCAGAACCTTGCCCTCATCCAGAGCCACCACATACGGAACCGCGTGGCCCTAGCAGTCCTTGCAACTGCCCCAAACCATGCCCCTGCCCACCTTCTTGTCCTTGTTCTCCTGGTTGCCATGAATCTGAGCCTCATCACCTAGATATTGAACCACCACCCTGTGGCCCTGCTGGATACAATGAGGAAGAGGTCTTTAGTTCTGGATGCTCAGAGCCACGAGATATGGGTGGCTGTGGTACCAAAGGTGGAGCCTTCTCTGAAGTGAAAGGCTTCTATTTCTAAAAAGCCTAATAAGAGAGTATATTCTTCTTTTCACTCTGTAGTCAAATACGCTTCTGTTTGAAGCTCTCCTGCTCAAAAATTTTCAGACTCTCAGCAGCTTACAGAATAAATTCTAAGTTTTCTTATTTGATATTCAAGATCCCTCACCATACAGTCATAACCTATCTGTATGTCTCTCCTCTTTCCTCTCTCCTCTCTCTCCTTCTTTCTCTCTCCCCCTTTCCCTCCCCCTCTTCTCTCTCTCTCTCCCTGTCTCTCACACTCCCCCCTTCCTCTCTCTGTCCCTGTCTCCTCTCCTCTCTCTCTCTCTGTCTCCCTCCTCCTCTCTCTCCTTATCTTCCTCTCTCCCCCCTCTCTTTCCCACTCCACCCTTTCCTTTCTCTCTCTCCCTCCCTCCTTCTTTCCTCTCTCTGTTTTCCTCCTCCTCTCTCTCCCTCCCTCCTTCCCTCTCTCTGTCTCTGTCTCTCTCCCTCTCTCCCCTTTTCCCCCTCCCTCTTTCTCTCCCTCTCCCCCGCCTCCCTCTAGGCTTATCTCTAGTTAACTATCAAACTCATTTTGCATTTTCTCACCTTTACTATACCTGCTCAACACCATTCCCTTCTGGTCCAGTGAAGCCCTACCCATTCCTTCAAGGCGTGGCTCAAGATCCCTCCTCCATAAACAAAATTCCAGCTTATTTTGATAGCTCTGCTCTAAACACCCAGTACTTCTGGGATTTATGTCCAGTCTCCCCCCAAAGTTTAGAAAACCCTGAGATCAGGAGTTGTGTCTTAGCCGTCTTGGTATCCTTTCAGAGCATCACGCCTTGAATGTAGTAAGTGACTAATTATTATTTGTTGATTGACTGATCCATCCAAGCTCTCCCAGGCTCCATCACTCTTATACCTTGCTGGTGGTTGACTGCTTGGTTCTCCCTCTGTTTGCACTCTCCTCACTGAATTCTGTCCCAAGAGATGGGATTGACAGCAAACTTGCAATAATAAAGATGAGAGGTTAAAGACATGCATTGTCTATTTCTTTCTTTCTTTAATCTTGAGCCACTCTGTGATTTCAACAAATGAACTTTAAGAACAAAAGAATTTCTTTTTCTTTTCAAAAGGATACTTGGGAATCTTTTAGAGTCTATTTGGCCTGTTTATGTTCTCTACAAGCTTCCTTTCTATACGGTGGTCTGTGGCATGGAGATGCTGTGGCCAGGGTTGGTCACCCAGAGATTCCACATCCCCACCCTCTGTGCTCAATCAATTCCTGGTGATGGATGAAATACATGCCTTGGGCAGAGAATACTTGCTCAGAGAACAGTGGGGTAGGATATGCCCAAGCATCAGAGGATTAGGGAGTGTCTTGTACTCTTTTTTTGAGGGTATGGCTACAGGAAACCATGTTCAAAAGTCAGATCTTCATTCCAAAGCTGAAATAGGGCTAACTATGGGGCCTTAAGCATATTCCAGATAGAAGGGACCTTAGAATACAGAATGTTAGTACCTAGAAATCACAGCAACAGAGGGATCATCTTAACCTTTTTTTTTTTAAAGGTTAAGGACCCACTTCTCAAAATGTTTTTATATGCATAAAATGAAATATGTAGGATTAGGAAGAAAACTAGTTATATTGAAATACAGTTATCAAAATATTTTTAAAATAACAAATTGACAGAGCTCCTGAAATCTCCTCCTCCTCCTCCTCCTCCTTCTCCTTCCTTCTCCTTCTCTTTCTCCTTCTCCTTCTCCTCCTCCTCCTCCTCCTCCTCAGGGTTAAGTGACTTGCCCAGGGTCACACAGTTAGTAGGTGTCTGAGGCTGGATTTTTTTTCCTCTGTGAAACCACATATTTCTTTATTGTTTTACAATTTATAAAATACTTTTACGTGAATTACTTAATTTGATTCTTATGTAACAGCCGAAGCAGGTGTTTCTCCTGTGGTTTTTTTTTTTATTACCTGGTGTTTATTTTTAAAAATATTTATTTTTTTAATTTATGGAATAAGACAAGCATTTTCATAACATGGTACAATAAAAAAGATGACTGCATATGAAACCACAGATCCACTATATACAACTTGCTATTCCTTTTAAATATACAATTCTTTTTAAATGCACATACCTTTTAAATACACAACAAAGTTATCATGTAAATTTCCTTTTTCCCTTTTTTTCCCCTTCCCTCTACCATCCCTAGAGATGGCTGCCATTAGACACAAATAGGTATATACACACACACACATGCATAAAAAATATATATATGTAAAATTATTCTATACATACTTCTAGTTGTCTAAGGCTGAATTTGAATTCAGGTCCTCCTGATTACAGAGCCAGTGCTCTATCTACCGCACTACCTAGCTGCCCCTGAGTGTATGACCCAGTGCATATTCTAATACACCACAACACCTTTTAGTTTTATGTTTGGCCCTTTCCTCTTTCTCCTGTCTAAGGCTAACCTCTCTTCCTATGCCCTTGACCCCAATCTTGCCCTCCTCTTCTAAGACCTTAGTTCTTCAATTACCTTTTCTTTCTCTAAAATGTTTCTCTACAGACATGGTCACGTCTCTTCAGGCTAAAGGGGAAAAAATCATTTATCCCTGCCATCCACTCAATCTGCTCTTTCCTTGTACTGCAAAATTTCTCATACTTGCTTCTTCTACTTCCTCGTTAAACATTTGTTCTTCAAGCCCCTGTGATCTGACTTCAGAAGCTGCTACTAGGTTGAAATTCTCCTCTGATCTCTATGACATCATGATCCTCTGACTTTTTCCTACTTGAGGGAGTGTCTCTTCCCCTAGTTTTCTGTCTCTGAAATGTCTCTTGTATCTCTTATTTCCCTTTCTTGCCCACCGCCTCACGTAACTTAAGACCTAGGATATGACAATAGAATACTAATGGATCTCCCCACCTCATCTCTCCTCTCACTGGTCCTTCCTAAAGTGACTGTCACATGAATTTTCTTTATTCCCAGTTCTGATCATGTGACTCCCCCACTCATGGCACAATCCCTTCATTGGCTCCTCATTGCCTGCCAGATAAAATCTAAATATGGCCTTGTGAACCCATGGACCATAGCATGCCAATACTGTCTATGAAGCTTTCTTCAGAAAGATGCTGGAGTGGTTTTCCATTTCCTTCTCCAGTAGATTCAGGCAAACAGAGGTTAAGTGATTTGCCCATGGTCACACAGCTAGTGAGTGCCTAAGGCTGGATTTGAACTCAGGTTTTCCTGACTCCAGGTCCAGTGCTCTATCCACTGAGCTATCTGGCTCCCTCATTTATTTTCTACTTCAACTAAATTGGCTTAGTTAGGTGGCACAGTAGATAGAGCACTGGCCTTGAAGTCAAGAGGACCTGAGTTCAAATCCAGCCTCAGACCAAACACTTGACACTTACTAGCTGTGTGACCCTAGGCAAGCCACTTAACCCCAATTTCTTAAAAATAAATAAATAAATAGGCTTAGTCACTGTTCTCCAAACATACTCTGTGTTTTCCTCTCTCTTTTCGTTTGCTTATGCTGTCCATTCCATCTGAAATTCATTTTTCTGTTTCTTCATGGGTAAAAAAGTTTCAAGGCTCAGCTCAAATACAATATTCTCCATGAAGCTCTCCCTAATCCCCCCAGTCAGATGTGATCACTCACTCTTCTAAACCTCAACGTATTTTATTTGTACATCTATTATGACACTTTTTATATCCTTTCTTCTACTATATTTACTTCTACTCATCTTATTCTCATTAATATATTGTAAGAACCTTGAGGACAATTAGGTAACAAGCAGTCAGTCAATTAGCATTTATTAAATTCTCTGAAGATACAAAGAAAGGCAAAGAAAAAGATACAAAGACACAATAAAGATACAAAGAAAGCTCTACTCTCAAGGAGCTCACATTCTAATGGGAAGAAAAATGTGCAAATAACTATGTACATACTATTCACAGACACATACACTCATATATAATATAATGTAAAATAAATATAAATATAAAGGTACTAGCAGCTGAGGAGACCAGGAAAGGTCTCCTGCAGAAGGTGGGATTTGAGCTGAGTCTTGAAGGAGCCTGGGAAACCAGAAGGCAGAGATGAGGAGAAAGAGCATTTTAGGTATGAGACGTTGAGTGAAATGGCATTCAGTTGGGAGATGGTGTGTGAAATCATTCTGTTGGGTTTGGGGAGCCCAGACTGTTACCTGCTGGTTCAGAGTCCTCCCAAGGAAGAGAGCCAATGAAGGGGGCTAGATAGGTGGGCAGGTGGGAGCATAGTATTTTTTAAATTAAATTTTTTTTAATTAACAGAAACTTATTTCCTTTCCTTCCCACTCCCCACCCTAAAAGGAAAAAGAGAAAAAAAAAAGAAATTTCTTGTAATAACTATTCATAGTCAAGCACAACAAATTATCTTATTCACTGTACTCAAAAAAACATATGTCTCACCCTGGACCCTGAATCCATCACCTCTCTGTCAGGAGGTGGATAGCATGTTTCATAATTGGTCCTATGGAATCATGTGTCATCATTGCATTGATCAGAGTTCTTATCACTTTTCAAGCTGTTTGTTTTTACAGTGTTGTTGTTATTATGTTCTTCTGGTTCTGTTCATTTCATTTTTTTTTTTTTTTTGGCTAAGCAATGGGGCTAAGTGACGTGCCCAGGATCACACAGCTAGTAAGTGTTATGTGTCTGAGATCAGATTTGAACTCAGGTTCTCCTGACTTCAGGGCCGGTGCTCTATCCACTGTGCCACCTAGCTGCCCCTTGGAAATAGGTTTTACACGACTTTACATGTATAATCAATATCAAATTGCTTGCATTTTCAAGGAGAGGGGAAGGGTGGGAGGGAGGGAGAGAATTTGAAGTCAAAATTTTAAAAAGTGTATGTTAACAATTTTTAAGTGTAATTGGGAAATATTTAACAAAGTAAATAAAATATATTTTAAAAACGAGAACAGGTTATCCCAGACTAACTTCTTTCTTTAACAAGGTTACACAATTGGTGGATCAGGAAGTTGTGCAAAGTTTTTGATAAAAAATCTAATACCGTGTTTCAAGAAAAGATGGAGACATATGGACTAGTAGATAATGCAATCAGGTGGATTTTGAAACAGCTGGCTGGACTCAAAGAACAATTGTTAAATGGTTCAATATTGATATGAGAGGAGACGACCCAGTGGCGTGCCCCCAGAAATCTTTGGTTGGCCCTATGCTTTTGACATTTTTATCAGCAGCAGTGCATAGCTGGCATGCTCACCAAATTTGCC